GCTAGTTACAACCTTGTCAAAATGCATTCCTGTTACCGCCCTTTCTTTTTTTTGCATTTGGCTGATTTCTTCTTGTAGACAGAGAAGCATGAGGTGAACTGAGGGGCATTTACCACCTGCTCAGGTTGTGATTTTTTTTTTTTTAATTAAGACTTCATTTGCCGCTCCAGCAAGCAATTATTCAGTGAGATATTGGATCCAGCAGAGGACTAGGAATGAATCTGATCAATGGTGGGAACCATGGGTGAACTCAGGTTCACAGCCTTTGAGGTATCAGTGCTTCAGTCCATGCAAGGGGTGGCAGCATTCAGGCTAGGTGTGTTGCGTGCCAGACAAACCCAAGGAGGAGGAACTATGGCTGTGGATTTCCTCTGGTTGAGGTGAGCATTGAAACTAGAGTTATTAGTTGGTAATTGATTGCTAACTGCTTTACCTCATTAACTGGATTAACTGGCATCAATTCACTTCCCCCCCCCCCCAACTCTTACCTGAAGAAGGTCTTGCTCCTTTTGTTGTATTGAGCCACCACGTGTGTAGCCCTGCTCCAACCTGGGGTAGGTGCAGGGCAATGTGAAATGAAGGGACTCAGACACAGTGTTTAGCCAAACCTTTGGTGAGCCAAAGGGAATGATGAGCAGAAAGGTGTGTTTTGGGGATCTTGGTGTATGCGGAAGCAAAAACCTTGTTTTCTGAGATGCCCAAGGGCACCCTCTTCCAGATGTTCCAGAAATACGTGAGTCTCATAAAGACCCTGGCCCACATTAGCCAGCCCTGTACAGATGTCTTGCAAACATTAGGCCATCTCAGATGTCATACCATTAGGCAAATGAACTACACCCCTAGGATACCGGGTTCAGCCTCAGATTTTGACGTCTCAGTTGAAGGCTCAAGAACACAGATATCTGAACACAGAGTGTAGTGACATCTAGTAACGGAATCCCATCTCTAGTCAGTGGAAAGGCCTTCAGGATGCATTCAAAGCACTCCCATCATACATCTTTAGCCTGAGATAATCCACACATGGCCCTCTCTGTGGACTCTGAAGGGTAGACCAGTTCAGGCAGAGTCTCATACACTATGGACAGCCAGAGCCCAATTCAGCTGCCCACATGTAAGTGTCCAGCCCTTTTGGGATGCCATGGGTTATCCCAGACATTCACACAGATGTGACACACAGACTACAGGACCTGGACCCTCCTGGAGGGGAAGGAGGTGCCAGGTGGCTACCTGATCTCATTATCAAGAAGCACTAGATCCCTACATGCCAACAGCCCCTGTGTTTGCCAGATGAATCCTAGCTCCGGGGCCTGTAGTTGCCTTAAGGACCAGGACCAGCCGAACAGGGCTTGTGAAGGCCTGAATCCAGCAGCTGGGCACTGCTTGGAGCACTTAGATGGGTCATGAAGACTTCCAGCCCACAGCTCTCAAGTAGTGGAAGTGGATGACAATTAAGATCCTGGCTGTTCCTAATCAGGCCTGCTTCTAGCATTCACCTTTTTGTAGCTTTGAGTATGGTTATTATAATTTTTTAACACATATACTGATGCAGGAATTAGTTGAATGCTTTTGTTAGCACATGCCACTAAACAAAAGAAATGCTAGTTACAACCTTGTCAAAATGCATTCCTTTTTTGTTTTGTTTGTTTCGTTTTGTTTTGTTTCTTTTCCAGGAAAAGATTTAAGCGCTTTCCCTTTTGGAGCCCAGTGCTTCTCACTAACCTCTTCTGGCCTGGGGACAGCTGGTGGTGTCTGCCTCTAAACATTATGAAAGGGAGAAAAGATAAATGAACACACTTCTTAGAAAAAGTAGAACTCTAGGAAAAGAACTGTTTAGTTTGGAATGTGGTTAAGAATTTGGGGTAAATATAATGTATTTCTGTTTCTCAGTGGACACAGGACTGAACAGTTACCATTGATTCCCATGACTATGTACATGCATCTTTTCAGCTTAATTGCTTGCCTTCATCTGTTTTCACCCCCTTCTCTCTATATTCTTGGCTACGTGCTAAGTGAACTCAGCAGAACAGCACAGCTTTTCAGCTAAAAGCAAACAAAAAAAGATCTTGGAGTGTGTTCTTTTTTTTTCCCCCTCTCAATCAATGGTCTCCAAAAGTACCTGGCCCCATTTATGTTAATAAATGAGACATGTCAAGAACTGTTCTCTGGCTGTGAAGCCAACTGACAGCACAGATCACATCCCTACAGCTGAAGTCTTACCACCAAACGAGTGTGACTGTAGGGCACACTACCTACTGGGAATGGTCCACTGCCCTTGCCATCTCCTGACCCCTTCCTGGGCATTGCTAGGAGGCTGTTAGGTGGTCTGGACCAACACATACCAGGAGCATACTAGCCATTCACTGGTCTGGATGTCCCAGTACTTGTGCCTGGTAGCTTATTGTCCCTGACTAGATGCAGCCCAGGAGGCTGTGGGGAGCTGGCCCATAGCTAGTTCATGCTAAACATGCAGTGTTTTCAATTAAGTATTGCAAAACTTGTGGTACCCACTGGTTTAGCACTACGTGGTCAAAGTATAACAAGCCATTGGACTGAACAAAACAGTCTTACTGTGCTTTAAAAAAAATCTAAAAACTCCTATGATCAGTCTAGGGTCTTAATACATTCAGTTATTTACCAGATCACTCTACATTCTTCACCTCACTCTGGGGCAAGACAAAAAAACAAAACCAAACACCATCCTCAGCACTCCTCCCTGCATTTTCCAGGCCAGCTCTGGGCTGGATGCAGCGCAGACCTGGAGCATGACTGGCACCTCAGCCTTCTGAAGGAGGCAAAGCAGTGTTGGCTCAGCTCATGGTGTATCCCCTCCTGCAAGGGAAGGAAGCTTCAGGACGGCTGCCTCTGGTCACTACAGCTCACCAACCTCTGCCTACCACAGCAGATCTGTACCTGCCTCCCAGCAGATGCTTATAGGAAGTCTAAAAGAAAAAAAGGGCTCCATTTTCTGATGAGCCCCCCTTTGTTCTTGTGGTAGGCAGCCATCTGGGGACTGGCTGGGGTACAGGAGACACCTGAATCTGTGTTTTAATAGCAGCTGATGGCCTAATCCCCTAATCTCTTGTTTATACCCTTTCACAACATTTTGTGGCATTTGAATCTTCCCTGGTGTGTAAAAACACTTCCTATTCTGTCTTATCTTGCCACCTCATAGCTTTACTAGGGCAACCAAAACTTAGTATGATGAGAAGTTATCACTAATATCTTAGTCACAAGCCTTTCTATATCACTTGATTTCACAGACCTCTTATTTCCTCTCCTTTCTTGCCTCCATTTCATCTGATGAGTCCTAATCTACTTATCTCCATATTAAGAGTAAGGTGGCAAAGGTGTTTAAACTTTTCTGTCAAATCCTGTGTGCATCAGATGCTTTCCTTGGCTTCCCCTCATGCCTCTGCTGCTGCGTGATGTTGCCCAACACAGGGGCTGAGTTCACCTTCATGACTACTGTGGCACAGCTCTAATCCCACATTGGGATTCCTGGTCAGTAGACAGAGTCCAAAGGACAACCAGAGAACAGATCTGCGAACTAGGCCCAGACTAAGTTGTCCCAGAGACAAGTCTGTGAGCTGGGATCCAACTTCCTTGTCTCCTTTCAAACCCCCAGGAGCAAAGATCTACCACTGCAGAATTAGCACTGAGTAACAGCTTATGCTTTTCTCACATAGTAGGGAGTGTGCCATTATGTACTGTACCTGAAGAGGTAATGGGTAGGATGGGTATGTAGAAATAGTCGCTGCAGAAGGACAAAACCCAGCATACGTCAGGATCTGCTGGGCAGGATTGTACAGGATCTGAGGAGGAGGTGCAGCACTGAAGGCAATTTGGGACAGAGGTACCTGTTGAGCACAGAAGACAACAATATATCAGCACAATGCAGAGGGCACTGGAGCAGGAACTGGTCCTAACACAAGCAGCTAGGCAATTTAAGAACTTCATATTTTCCAACGCAATAGCGATACTACAAAAAACCAAGGAGCAGACAGAATGAGAGGAGGGTGTAACTGGAGTGAATTTTCTGACCAGAATTACACAGCTATTTTAATCTCCTTCCCTTGGAAAAAGACTGCTGGTGCTTCCCTAGTACCAGTCACAGAAGCACTGGCAGGACTCCAGACCTGAGACACCCAGAAAAGCACAGCACACAGCTTTGACCGCCTCTTCTTATCCACTCCAGCACCAAACACCCAGTCCTTCACAAATTGCTCCAGACTCTTTCCAATAGCAACTACCTGATGCCCTCATGTCTTTTCCCTCTGCTTTCCTACAAAGATCTCCCTTTCCAGACCACTTGCTCTTCTTTCCCAGCTCCGTCTCACTTGTGAAATGGAGTTTGCTGCTGGCTGTCCAATACCACCCCACGATGTGCATATCTCATTCCTACTGCATAAAATCCTTCATCATATCCTGTGGCTTTATTGCCATGTTCTTTAACTGCAATGTGAGATGAGGTTTGCAGGAAGAAGTAATAGGTCATATTAAACCAGCTGATACAACTAGAGGAGAAAAAAAGAAGAGCAAAAGCTAAATGTGAAAGGGGGCTTATGTTAAACCCTAAAACCCTGTGCTATATAAACATTCGTGAAGGACACTAGAGCTCTGTGAAACATTTTCATGTCCCTCTGCTTTGCAAAGTGAGACAAATCCAGTGGTTTCTTTTCTCTCCTTTGTTTTTATTAGCAGATTCCTTTACATGAGAGCATGGAATTTTCTTTTTACTGAAATAATAAAACACAGTGGTTGCCAGACAAAGGCTGAAAGCAGCAGCCAGGATTTTTTTTTGGCATTTCCTTTCAGATTTATCAGTGAGAGACATAAACCACTGCATCCTCTGGGGATAGTGTGAGATCTCTGTCTGACTGAGAAAGAGGTGTATTAATTGTGTTTGCACATGGAAAATATCATCTAGGTCACTGATGTACCACATGAGGTTATCTAACTACCTAGGCCTTAGATCTCTGGAGAAACTTAGCACCCCAGGAGGTGGCACAGAGAAAGACTGGGCCTGAAAACTGAAAGCCAATTTCATGAGAGAAAATAGGTGAGTAGAAATAGAGAGATGCTGCCTTTCAGACAGGAGTTGCGAGAAGCAGCTCAGAAGCTTGCCTCAGACCCAAGGGTTTGGGGTGAGTGACAATGGCCCACCTCAGCCAGGGCTGGGCTCACTCTCTCAGACCTCTGATATTTTCTCCACCCATAGCAGCAATGCTCTCCAGTTGCTAAGGATGAACACTACAACAGTCCTAGAAGCCAGGTTTGGGGAGTCATCCACCCCAGATCCACTGATCAAAGCACCTTATTATCAGGCTATCTGGTCTCAGCCTCGAGCCAGCAACAATTTGCAGGTGCTGAAGCTGGTTAGATGCTTTTATCAAAGATCCCAGTAATGACACTATGTTAAATTAGGCACATAACATACAAAGGTAGGTGGAGACATTTTAAACTGAAACACTACCCAAGTCAAAGAGATAAGGAGCTGTTCACTGGCCAAGGAGCGCTGTCAGTGCTGTGTGGGCACCTCGGGTGAGGGAGCGTGGGGACACCAGGTGGTGGCTGGAGGGGTGCCTGGCCACCCCCTCACTGGGCCATGCAAGCTGCTGCTCACTGTTTGCTGGGCTGTGTGACTGCAGAGCAAGGCAGGTCGGCTCACTGATCAACACAGACCTACCAAAGCATTTATTTCTTAACTACGACTGTTTCTAGCGTCAGACTGCACCTTTAGTTGCACCCATGCTAAGACATGAACACATTAACAAGTAGCCCAGTAATTGGTTGGCTTTTGTTTTCCTTTTCAGAGCAGAGAAAGGGAAGAGGAGAGGGGATAAGAGACTGATATTTAATCTGTTCAGATTCCCTGAAGGACTTCAAGAAGGAGCCTAATTGGAAAAAGGAAAAAAAAAGAAAACACCAGCAGCCCTCCTCAGGACCATAGGTAGTTCTGATTATTGCAACCCTGAACTCAGGGCAGGCAGATTCCTTGGCAAGGTGTGTCAGGAAAACATCTACAAGTCATTAGATGAATACCAGGGCAGGGAAGGGAGATCCTAGATGAATTCTTAGTACAAGCAAGTGAAGTTTTCCATGCATTTCTTTACCTCTGTCTTCTGTAAGAAACAGAATAAGGTTTTTTACCATTTTGGATACATACTTCTATTTATGTTGTATCTTAACCTGCCTTTGGCTAAAAGGTGACTTTAAGGTAACTGCCTAGCCAGCGTCCTATATCCAAGCACACAGAAGATTTGACAAGGAGGGTACCATTGTGACCTCTGCAGCTCCCCCAGCACCCAGCAGATCCCAGAGGACAGCCCCATGGGTGACACAGGGGCCACTGAGAGCTGACACCTTGAGAGTCAGGAGAGGATGAAATGTTTCCCACTGAGCCAGCATGGCCCTCTGGCAGGCAGCAAAACCACAGGGAGCATGCCAGGGCCTGCAGGGAATTTGTCACAAGAAAGAAAACCCGCAACAACCAAAACAACACTTCTTTCTTTTTTTCTGTCCAGGAAATGTAATGAGTTTAGAGCCACGGCGCTGTTTTGCAAACTCTCCCCTTTGTAACTTGTTTCGGCTGCCAGCATTCCCCAGAGATAAACATGCTGGGTTTTGTTTGACGAGTAAGCCTGGCCCTGTGTTTTCTGGAAGTCAACCTCGGAGCAATACCCTGAGACATTTCAGTGGGCTTTGCAGCCCTCCTTGCAAAATGCCAGTGAGCATTTCTGTGGGAAGGTGACATCCTGAAAGAAAGAAAATTGTTCTCCCACACATTTTGAAGATTTTTTTTTTCTTATTTCAGTCCCATGCCCCTTTCTCTCACCCTTCTGCTTGATGTCTTCTTGGCCCCTATCTTTCCTCAAGAGTTACTCCTTTCGTAAGGAAAGCGAGCAGCTCTGGTACATCACTCAAAAGGACCCTGAAAAAGCACAGGCAGGAGCAGGCAGTGGTCATTGCATTTTGGATTGATGCCTTGGTAAGACTCTCATAAGCATAGCATGGCTCCTGTGTTGGGGTAACAGGCACAAACTCATCTTTCCCTTAAGCCAGGGAGGGTGGTTTTTTCCCACTCCCGCTGCAGAGGAGACATTAAACAGCTTACTCAGATCAGGTTTTTAGCTGGAGCCCTGACACTTGCTCCAGCGGAGCCTGGGATGAAGCTGTACCTCCACTGCTGCTGCAATTTCCTTGCACAGCTTTACTCCACCCAGTCAGAAGACCCAGACCTTGACCCAGGCTCTCCCACCCAGCAAGAAAATGTGCCAGGTCATGGAGATCCCAGTTCTCTCAGGAACATCTCCTCAATGTGGTGTCCCTTGTGAGCAGTGCAGCAATGGCCCCCATGCAGAACAGAGTTGCACCTGTTTGGAGCTTGCCCTACTACAAAGCATCAGCCCAAATCCTCTGTAAGCCTTGGTTTGTGCAGGACAATTGGGTGGACTCAGGATGGCTTTCTGTACCCTTCCCCACCTCAGGGGAGCACCAGCAACTCCCACAGCTGCCCTTGGTAGAGGCACTCGCACCCATCTGCTAGGCAGGGGAAAATACTAAGCAGCACTGGAAAGCTGCAGTGTTCCACCAAGGACTTACTGTAGATGATACCTGTCTTCTCCTCCCCATGTAGCTGTTTTTCCCCTCATTTCCCACTGTGGTTGTTTCTGCTCCCGTTCTGCCATTGCTCCTCTCATAGGGAGGGGATGACTTAAGCTGGGAAAGCTGCTTCCACTCCCTCCCAACTCTTCACTGGCTGGCTGCAATTTGTTATCAACTCCTTGCAAGAGTCCCCTCACAAAAAGGATGGCTCAGCTGCACATTTCTTACATGTGAAGACTCACTGTGCTTGTGTGCCTTAGGCTACAGAGAGAAATATTTCCAGTAAACATTTTGCAACTCTTAACAAAGGTGAATTTCAAATAATTCGCATGGCCCTGCTCTGTCACATGGTTTTAAGCACCCGACACATGTTGTAGATAGCCCAGACATGCTTGCTAAGGGACACTGGCTGCTCAGAGCAAGGCCTGGATGGCCTCCAGTCTGACTGGGTCCTTGGCTCACCAGCTGCCAGCTCTGAGCAGCCCCTTGCCTCTATTCTGATCCCCATGGTGTACATCTCACTCATCTCTCTTGCTTTCTCTTCCCCGCTCCATCCCTCTTGTTTTCCTTTCATTTGTCTTCCTATTTAGTTTTCTCCGCTGGAACAGTCACCAGAAACATCATGGATCTAAGATGACATGTGCTGCTATCACACCTCCCTTCAGCTTCTGCATTTCACCTCCATCCCCACATCTCTGCCCATTTAGTTTGGAAGCTCTTTGGGCTGGGACCATCTACTTTTCTGAGTACTGAGTAAATCATGAGCCACTCAATTTGTCTTTAGGCACTGCTTTAGCAAACACGACCACTGACAGTGATAATCCTGGGAAAAGCTACTTCAACCTTTTAACATTACAGCAAATCTAGGCAGATGAGGGTTACATACATACATAAGGTTAAACAGTCACACTGAGGAGTTGAGTTAGCTGCAAATAGCATCCTCGAACTCTGTACTGGCCCACATGTTCAGTGCTGAATTAGAAGGAGAAGAAAAAAGATGTGGCTAAGTGAATCGCCAGCATCTGTTCACACAGATGCCTATTTTTCCCTTCCATTCATGTTCTTGACCAGGCTTGACCTACTTAGTTACGAGCAGCTGGCAACAGCTTATGACTCCAGACTCCCAGACCACACAGGAAACATGTTTAAAGTGCCTCCTTCATAACTTTATGCTTCCTGGGCTTTAATCCACTTCATAACATCAACAAGCACAGAAGTCCTCACAGAAGACAAAAGACTGAGCCTTACCATGTCTTTAAAAGCCCCAAGAATGGCTGCTGTAATAATCCCCAGAAACAAGCCAATGATGTTGAGGACTGTGGAGGACCACAGCAGCCTATACAGGTGAACCACGTCCTGACAGCTGCTCACGCCGAGAAATTCAAAGTAGCTGGCAGACTGCTCTGAACTGAAAGGGAATGCAAACAACGTCACTGCTGTGGGAATGGTTTTGCACATCATACAGAGCACCAGAGGATCTGAATCCATCCTGCTTACTTTCCTCTTTGGCAAAGTACTTCATCCATGCTCCCACTGAAGACTTCTCAGATGAACTGGAGAAAGCTCCACTGTAGAGAACAACTCCCTCTGCTAATGGCAGCATTAAATGTGTGATCCAGCTAATACCAACCCCAGTTTGGCTGACTGGCGTTGTGCACCAGCAGGGACTCTTCTTCCTTTTATTTTTTCTGATGGTTTCTGAACATAATCCTGGCATACAGATGCTGCCCTTGTCATTTAGCTACCAGCTAAAAGCATGCTTAGCACTGTTGGTTTGTTTTTTTTTCCCCCCAGCTCACCTGGAAATCCACTGGTATCTCTGAAACTGGAGAAGACAAGTTGCTTAAGCATTAATTCAACCACAGGAAGGAAGATTTTGCCAGTTGGCTACATTTGTTTATGGTGTCTGCGGTTCCAAATTAACAGATGCAACACAGTACAGTATAATGACGTGCCTTTACATTATGAATTGTACTATCCAGAAATGTATGTTTGTTTATATTTCTACACTTCACTGGTTATTGTAAATCAGGCATGTTGTGAAGTCAATCCTCATTGTCTTGCTGAAAGGCAGAAATATCCTACTGCAAAATTCGAAACCACAGTTTCCTGCAGTTCTTTCCAGTACCTGCCTTAATGCAAGCCCACTAATGAGTTCCTAGAGCAGTTATTTGGGTTGGAAAGATGTTTTAAATGCCAAGTCTTTACACTGTTAGTAAATTACCATCAGCTTACAATGGAAAGCAGAAGTGAGCAATTTGTGCTCACTCTTCTTTTCCTCCATCCCCAGCACATGGGGTTAGGTGGTTAGGGAAAGGTCTGCAGAGGAAGGCATCAGCATCGAGAAACTCACAACATTTCTGGGAAGAAATGAGCCAAGCACCGTAATTCCTGGAAATACCCAATCGTTTATTATGGGGCACAGTTCTGGCACTGCAGATCCACTACTGTTGAGTTCACTTGAGCCATATAATGAGCCCAGACATCGCTTAACTAAATAAAACTACAGCTTCAGCTGCCATGATACTGAGGAAATCTCAGTTGCAATCCTGCCTGTGTACTGGTCTGCTGCATGGCTGACACCAAGTCACTTCATGTCACTGTCTCTTCCTACTTCTCTGTAGCTGTCCTGTGAGCTTGAATTGCCAATTCTGTAGAGCAGCAAGACTGCTTCTTTACTCTGTATTTGTCCATGCCAGTGCCATAAGATCTTGCTGGCCCCTGTGGATCACTGACAATGGCACTCACTTTGAGTCTCTTGTGTGAATGAGAAATACGCATGCATAGATGACCTCCCTCTAGTCCCAGATTTCATTTTGCTTCTCTAGTTGAGTCAGGATCCGGGCAAGCGCTACTCATTTATGCAGAAGCCTTGTGCAGAAGCCTCATTGTGCCAGCATGATTACCTTGCACCTCAAATGTTCATGTCTGGCAGCATGCTATCCAAGGCTTACAGAGCACTGGCGTTATCCAGGGCTGCTGGCATGTGAAAAGGAGGCAAAACCAAATCAAAACAGGAGACACAGGAAGGAAGAAAGATGAGATATACATAAAGAGAAACAAAGAAGAGTGACCCTGGGTGAACTGCAGAAGGTTGCAGAGGTTGCATGACAGTGCATGGTAAGATGCCACTGAGGTGCACAGAGAGTGAGTCAGGCAGAAGATCTGATCTAGGAAATTCTCCCAAGTTTCTTTTATGTGGCAAGACATGATGCTCTTTGGAGTCGAAATCTCTGTGTGCCAGGCAGTCAGTCAGTTGTGCAAGTTCATTTTATCTGTCTTCCATGTTATAAACCCTTGGATGTTGCTGTGATGCAGTTTTCCTAACCACCTTTTTTAGTCCTGTTAAATCACTGGATGGCAACCTTGTGCTAACCTTCAGCTGATCTTTGTAAGCATATCCAGACATTTTCTCTCTTATCTTCTAACAACTCATGCTTTGGTAATGATGGACAAGTGGACAGCTTCAGAAAACACTCACAAGACCCTCTGTATTCATTCTATGACAATTTAGCAAAATCCCGTGCCTACAGAGGCTGTTGCTAACAAAAGAGCTCTGCATATGCCTCCAACATGATCTCTGCTCATGGGCACCTATGTTTCTATTAATTTTGTTTCCTTTTGGTTCATTAAATCTAACAGGGAAATTGCATTGCAAGATCAACAGTAAATCTTGACAGACCAATGACTGAGTGGTTGATTTTGATCATGCAGCAAAGAGCTTATGGACATATTTAAAGAAAAAGAAACTGAAATAATGCCAACACTAATACACAACTCCTGACTACTTCTCTGCTGGAATCAGGACTTCATTTGCAGAGGAACTTGGATTGCTCAGCATACAAGCCCTTTGTGTTGCTTCTCCAGGGATAAGGGCAATCCCACCCACATCACTGAAGAGGAAGGGACAACCAACCAAGGATTTGCCAGAGGCCCTTGACTGCACACAGGTACTTACTTCTCACAGTTGTACAGGTCACAGCAATAGCACGTGTTACTCTTCACTTTCAGCTGGCACTTGCTGTTTAAGTTATAACATGTCACCTGCCAAAAAAAGAAGAAACTGACTTTTATTCTCAGTGTTTCAGTGCAATGCACGACTCATCCTACTCACCCCAAAGAAACAGCTGCTGCAAGTGTCAGGTCTTATTTCCTGTTGTGCAGAAAGATCCTGAGATTCCAAAATCCATGACTGTAGGGCAGAGGGACATCCTTGAGGTCCCAGAAGTTTCATTCGGGACATCAGCCCCTTAGTCTTTGCATTAGGGAGCCGAGAGTCCCCAGCACCGACTTGCAGCCAAGGCTGCCAGGGTTTTTCTCTGGCAAGAGAAAGTAAGACCCAGCATCTGCAGCTGGGAGATACAGATCTCTATGGCTGTGACACGAGGATCATGGGTCTTGACAGATACACCACAGCAAGCCACTGAAGCGGATAAGAATACCACTCAATTATAGTGGGGAAATGCGCAAAGAAGCCAATTTATCTGAACGGCTTCCAATAAATGGGAGCTCTCTCCTTTCAATAATGCGCTCCTGAAAAAGGAAATAATTAGGAACAACAAGAAGAACTGTCTCCAAACCCACAAAAAAACCACTCAGAAAACATCCAAGCACTCCAGCAAATAAGTACCATTTACTGCAGGCCCTTGAATAAAAAGCTGAAAAGGTTTACTTATTCTTGAGCAAGAATTACAGAGATGTACAGATGTTGGAACAATAAAGGTGGACATATGTAAGCCACTCTCCATCCAGACAAGAAATCATTCTAATGACTCCTTAAGTGTGTAAGCATCTATCACTTCTATTTGACACCACAGACAAAAGGAAATATTTTATATGCAATGCTTTTTTTCCTTAGACTTTTAGTTTATTGGCTTTGAAATTCTGGAGAGCTGTCAGGTTTTAAAAGCTAGCAGGTCAGAAAATACATTCTTCCTATAGCTTTTATTTTGATTTAAAAATGTGCTGTAACCACTGAGAAGTACTTTGTTAGCAAAACGCAAATAAAATGTATTATTGAATGGAAAATTCCTCATAATGAAAAAGTAGAAAGAGCAAGCATGCCTGCTTTTGAAAAGCTTCTGTCAGACAGTCTTTATTCCTGCTTAGCCATGAATGTGTCAGTCTGTGAGAGAATGTCCACAAGGAGATCTTAAACCACGTTTCTCATATCCTGAGTTCTGGATCTGTGCATCCTTTTGGTGTAAAACTGCCACTGTTGACAAGTCTGTACTCCTCATGTGTTCATTCCCAGTAAAAAAGAAAGTCTTAAACACACATACTCCACACCAGAGAAAGTTCATCTTGCATCTGGTCTCAGACTTGCCACACTTGTTGTCCTTAGCAGGATTTGCTTGAGCAGTGAAAGTTGCAAGGGTGATAAGGCTAAAAGTTTAAAGAAAGTTAAACTGATGCCTTGGGGATTGCTTTGGTGCCCAGGACAAGGTTGTACCTGCCTCATACAAAGCAGCTCTTCTAACCCAAAATGGAAGTTAGGTTATAAAAGGATGGTCTCAGCCTAGGTTGCAGACTGGAAATGGAGCTCACAGCTTGATGCAGACACATCCCAGTTGTCACAAGAGTATCTCACCCTGAGATAGGACCTTGTTTCATCAGCCTTGTTTGGTTGTGTCCGAACTTAACTGGAACTTCACATAAAGGCTTTGTTGGCCTCAAGTCACATTGAACTGCAGCTGTCCTTCGCCTGGGCTGTAATTTAGGGCAGAAGAGGAGCGTGCTACCGTCAACATCTGCATTGGCTTAATCAAGATCCAGCTCAGAAGTGACTGAAATGTCACACCTGGCTACTTTTCAAAGCAGTTTGCAAACCAATCCTGGACCCGAGTGTGCCAATGTGTCCACTTCCACAGCCTTTTTCTTGGGACACCCTGGTGCTTTTGTACTGAGTGGAACTTAAGATTTTGTTTGTGACTCCTGGTCAAAACTGCCTAGGACCTGTGCTGTTAAAATACACTTTTCCCATGGCACATGCATAACTGGGATTGGAAGGCTTTGTAAGATGGAGTGGGCTGCTAAAGAGGTGGTTTGTTCTGATGCATGGCTTTGAGGACCACTTGTGATAGAAAATAAAAGTAGTTTTCCCCTCTCCAAGCATCAATAAGGCCAGTTTGCCCCTTTTTGCTGGAGAAGGCTAAAAGTGCAAAAGAGGGAGATTGGCAAGATCTTAAACATGTCTTTAGCTGCTTCTAGGCTACAAGACATACTAAATTATTGGCTGAGGAAGTTACTGTAGTTGTCTATTTTTATCACTGCATTTTTAAAACATGCAAAGAGCAAGACACTCCTTTTTAGGAGAAGAGTGAATAAACCAAAATAAACAAATTACTGTGTGGTGTGAGCAAGGATGGTGGAAACAGGCCATTTGTGGGTATTGTGCATGTCAAGACCTATTATTTTTATTTCAATAACCAGACATTTAGCTTTTTCATGTTCTGGCTGTTTGTGCCTGTCTATCCCCTCAGCACCAATTGAACAGATGTTCTCATCTCATAGTAATTGCAAGAAATTCAAAATCTTTCTGCTTTGAGCAAAAAGAACTCAAACAGGCAAACTACATGAGCTGGAGATCACTGACAGGCTAGTGATAGCAATCAAAAGGAAACCTGCACTCAGTAAGGAATCTGCCTTCCTAGTTAGGTGTTTGCCTAGCTTGCAGAGCTGCTCATGAGCTGGATAACTTTGGAAAAGCAAAAGCCAAGTTCAAGTGCCACGGACCATTAACTCTGAATTAGCACATGCTGACTCCAGATCGGTGGACAACCAGACAAGAATGTTACTACAAACAAACTGCATTTTTAAAAGATAGGAGGTTTTTTTGCCAGAATAAAGCAAGGAGCTGTGGGTGGCCCAACTTCAGACATTCTCAGGATCTGCTGAGCTGAGGAAACCTGTCTGGCCAGAAGCATGAGGCTGGGGTCACCTGCAGGGATTTGTGGTCAGTGTGATGCCAGCTACATGCTTATTACAGGAATCAGAAGCATTTTTCAGGCCATACCTGTATCTGAATATGCATGCACCCTTTAGAAGAGGATGGAGTAAAACTCAAGGGAAAGAGTGCTGTCACAGATCATAAGTTTGTCTGGGTAGGTCTTTAGGCACGGAGGTCAAGATTTTTGTCATACATTTTCTGGAATCAAAAATGGGGTGCCCTAGCAGCAGGATTTAAGCAGTATTAGCTGCTTAACCTGTTAATATACTTTACTAAGTTGTCTATAATTATTAATGCTGACATTCCCCATACACTTTTTCTTAGCCATGGGAGGAATGGTGACGATGGACATCTGGCTTCTTGTAACTTATACCCTTGTTTAGCTGTTTTCAGTCCTGCTCTGCTTGATTTCCTTTCCACTCTCACCAATTTACCACAAATAATGAAATGAAAAATGGGAAAAGAAACTAAATGTGGACTTCTTAGGAGGCTAGCCATTTGGGTATGGGCACTTTCCCGACCATGTTAATGTCATTGAGATAATAAAAAAACTGCATTCAAACCACTGACGTTCTTGGCCTGTGCTGGATAAATACAGAGAAGATTTGAAGTCTCCTGGACAATGCAAATGGATACATTTAGATATTTCCTATTCCACTTGAAGTCTACAAAAACCTCCTTAGAGAAAGATGCCAATGTGACAAATACATTCCAGACAGCTATTATGCATTATAGCTGCACTAGGAATCATTCCAGTCCCAGAGTAATGCACTGGGTAGAAACACTGATGATGACTCAAGACCTCGCAGTTGTAATGATTTGCATCTCAGAGGCTCATCAGAGACTTGGACAAGTGGGGAGTCACTTGTGGGAGAAAAAACAGTGGCGTTTCTATCAACCCATGACCTACATGCACAGACATGCTCTCAAACACTCACCTCCCTCCTCCTCAGCCCCTCAAAGCACAGCAGAAACAAACATGGGATGAGGTGAGTTTGTTTACCTCTGTCTGGTAGGCATCATATAGGAATCCTATACCACTTGAATAAAACTGGCACCTTTTGTTATACAAAGGTCTGGGTTCCTGTAAAGAGAAAAACAGCCAAAGAAGTACTCAGTCTGGAAGAAGTGTGAAGGCACAGTGTCCCATGTCCCCATGCCAGATGCTTACAGCTCTGAGGAGCTGAAGCCAATGCAGACACTCAGGCAAGCGGCTCACACACCCCCGTGTTGGCTTTCTTTCCAGAATGGCTCTCCTCAGGGTTACATTTTCCTTCCTGGCTCTGCCACTAAGCTATGTGAGCGTCATTTACTTCTCTCTGTACCAGCTGCCCCTTTTAAGAAGACATTACCCTGGTATTCAACCACTTCCATTCCTGATGTCCAACAGTGCTGGTCTATGAGAATGGTCCAATCACTTTTTCCTGGTACAGTTTCTTACCTAGCAGAAAGAATTACTTTGGTATTTCTCTGCAAGATATGGAACTTTCTTTTTAAAGGATTTCAACACCATCCATAGTGAAAACAAAGTAAAATAGCTAATACTTTGGGCATTCCACTTTGTACACACATTTCAAAGCCCAAAAGCAAAACAAAGAATAATGAAGAAATGAAGTCATAAAGGGGAAGTAATTTGCATGTTGTTTTTGCCTTATTTACCATTTACTCTTATTGCAAAAGATACATTCACTGCTCATATTTCATATTTTGCTTGTAACAGTTCCCACAAGTTGATACAAAGAAATAACACAATGAAATATCCTTGGCTAGAGGGAAGATGTGTGTTTTCGAATTTGGCAAACAGCCACTTTAAGGCCAGAGGGTGCACACCTCAGGCAGTTTCAGGACTAGACCATATTTGCTTATGGAGGATTTGACAACAAAAGAATCCTCTGTGATCAGATGTCTATCCCAAAGCAAAATGTGGGAATTACTTATGTTGGCAAAAATAATATTTTTCAACTTTCTATCACTTATCTAGTCTTAGGTCATGATCTGTGCCTTCAAAAGCACTCAAGTGCTCTCCAGTATGTCAGTCAGACCACTTCCAAGAGAGAAGAGTGAAACCCGCTACGTGCCATCTCCTCTTTGCCTGCTAATTTACAGTAAAGGACTACTTAAGTTGTTAGCAGAAATCTGTGCTAATTAACTTTCACTGCATTTTAAAGCTTTATGACCCATCTAGGAATAACTCAGAAACTGCAGAAAGATCTGCTCTACTTAAGATACTTCTGTGTATTCTATGCTTGTTGGATTATGAAGTGTGAACTGCATAAATCTGCTGACCCAAAACACATAATCAGTAAAAATGCAGAGCTAAGCAGGAAGGCAGACAGGTCAATGAATAAAGCTCATCCATCAGCTTGTTTGCCTTTCTGATTACTCTGGCAAACCCAAGGAAGTTTGGACACCAGCTCCCAAGGGTTAGGGAAAGGTTAGCTTTCTGCATCCAAAAATATTTATTTCTATCACACAAGTGTAAGAAAAAATGCTTCAGTAACACTTTTTCTCTAGAGGAAAAGCAAATACCACACAAACTGCATGTCATGTCTTGAACTAGGACAACATTCTTTCATAGGCCTGGGAAAGCATTAGCCTGCAGCCGTAACTTCCAGGAACAGAACTGGTTGGGAGGACTAACAGGATTGTAGTTTCTCTGCTAGCACAGCAAGCATATGATCTGCCAAAGGCTGTGCAGCCCTTCTTTCATAGACTATCATGCTCCAACCCTGATTTCATCTGTTTCATGGGTATGAAATGAGAGAGAAGAAGAGTGGGCAGTAGAAATGGTTTTTTCTACCATGACGAGCAAATCCATGAAAAACTGCTGTTCATCATATTCACAACAATAACAAGTTTCAGTTTGAGCCTGGAAGATCTTGGAAGAGGCTGATGGTCAAGGATGTGGAGCCCAAGTGGTGTCCTCAATCCTGCTGGTAAGGAGCAATGGCTTGAGGGCTGGATGGATCCAGCAGGCCAACAACTGGCTGTGCATCTGTGGTGGGTTGACCTTGGCTGAACACCAAGGGTGGACACTGCGGAAACTCAAGGATGTCAGTGCAAAGCTGGTCTCAGTTACCTTTGAAAGGTTGTGGTGTTCAGGGAAGACTTCTGAGGACTTGAAGAAAATGTCATTCCTGCCTTCAAGAATGGCAAGAAAGAGAATTCAGGGAACTACACACTGGTGGGAAGGTGACGGAGCAAATAATCTTGGAAACCATTTGCAATGCACAGGCTAAATAAATAGACAGTGAGGTGGACTGAAAGCTGGCAGAACTGCTGAGGTCATGGTGTTATGATCAGTGATGTGAAGTCCAGCTGGAGGCCACTCAAAATGACCTTACTACAGGTTGCTGACGAGTGACACCACCACATCACACCATGAGGCTGTGTCTGCCCCTGAATGCTAAGATCCTCCCCTCAGATAACTCTGTAACTTGTCAAAGGCAGTAAGAAAGCCATCTAATCTGCCTCCATCAACTACAGAAGTACAGGAAGACCCTCATCATGACTCTGATCTCTTGACTTACACAGCTTTCCTATCCTTTACACCTCCTTCCTCTTAAAAAAGAAATTGATCCTTTTGTTGGCTTGGTCTTTGATGGAGAAGACAAACACATTTTTCATCCAAGCATGCAGCACTGTTCCCTGGGGAGAGAGGTGATGGATTAATCCTCACCAGATATTATTGTTTCATATTGCTGTGCAGTAAAAAGGTCAGAGATGCAACATGGAAGCGGCCACTGCGAATACAGTTCATGCACAGTCATGGCAAATGAGTATTTACCTTCATGCACCTGATTTTGAAAAGCAAGCCTGCTGTACTAGTACAGCCAGCTTTTTGTATTCAGTCTCTTCTTCTAAACACATATCTATGTGCAATCAGACCAGCAACCCCAGATCAAAATAAATGAGTGATGATCGAGTGTGTAAAAATAACAAAGATTAGATAACATTGACTTTATCCAGACACCCACAGAACACAACACTTAAAGCATGAAGCTTTGAAGAAGTACACTGGGGATGCTGAAAGGTTGCACTGGTAAAAACTTCCATTTGAATGAGATTTCCATGCCACAGAGGTACTGTGGTCTGTCTATCAACTAAGGCTGAATAAGACACCACACAGACATTAAAAAGTGTTTAAAAATGATCCAACAGTATGTCACACTGCATTAGCACCCACTGGATTTTATAGGCCTCTCTAATAACAAAGGCAATTGAGCTATAAAAGTATTCCTGACAGACTCCAGAGAGGATGACCACCACACAAACTCTGGTAACATGGATAACAAATAACAGCAACAAAACCAAGCACAATTAACTAAGAAATAATATTTTCCAGTGCTCAGAAGGATTGAATGAAACCCATCCATTTTTCCTTTTCATCAGTAAATGAAGTGAAGCATGCGACTGCATTTTTATACAGAATTCTTCCTCCTGTTTTCCAGTGTTTGTCTTCTGTGTATATGACTAGAGTTCTAACCAACAGATCTTCCCCCCACCTGCTTCCAGTTAGAGAGTTACTCACAGAAGCAGAGGAATGCATTATTTATTATATATTAGAATAGTAGTATTACACATTAATGGGAGATACTGCATAGCTCTGTTCCAGTAACAGTGGTTGAGGAAGTTCCTGGTAAAATTTGGTCATGTAATATGCTGCGCTGGGAAATACTTTTGAACTTGTGGCAGTCAATACGAAAACTCGATGCACTGAAGTCAAAAGAAGACTTGCTGCTGAATTCAGTAGAAACAGAGTAAGATCAGGCTACCGAAGAACATCCGTGAGTCTCTGAGATTTGACTCTCATAGATCCTACAAGGCCTAACAGTAGTCACACTGGAATTTGGGTTAAAATTTTCAAAGGTTTCAAAAAAATCTAGACACCCAGTAATTTCCTTCAATTTCAAGCAAATCAGAATTGCTCAGCCTTGAACCCTACAGAGCAAACTGTAGCTCTCTCTGTTCTTGCACTGTTTTTATTTTAATGTTTTGCATGCGTGTGTATTAGAACCTGGGACTGATGAACAGGCAGCTAAGAGGGAAGGCTTTATGCCAAGAAAGAGAAGATGCGGTCCAAATATAGAGGGGTTTTGGTTTGGTGGTTGCTTTCTCTTAAGAGCATACAATAAAAAGCCCACGTTCTCTTTGATGGTGGGAGCACTGCAATATGTTATTTGTGTAGGGAAAATATTCTTTGAACGGTATCTTTTGGTGGATTTGATACAATGTCTGTGGTGAAGGAGGCTGTATGGCTTTCAATTGAGGTATGGAAAGCAGACTTCTTTATTCCAGTTTTTGTTTCCTTGGAGAACACATATATTTTGGATAACATAGGAAAAATTCCAGCTCCCTTATGTGCAAGTCCACTTTCTGAAAACTGAGATATAGCATGAACTGTATTGACTGAAATTTATACCGTACTTTACAGAAACAAAATGTGGCTAATAATTTATTGAAATAATGATATAGTGAGGGCTAATTTTTCCCAATTACAGTATTTATTTAGCTTCCATGGCTGCATGGATAGAAGTGTAGATTAATCAGTGCCAGGGAATGTTCTCAGGCCTGAAACTCGATCATCTAGCCCATTAAATTGTTAGAACTGTGCCTGTGATGGCTTTGGCATGGGCAAACTGTCACTCTTCCAAAATCATTTCTGGGCATGGTTTGGAAATTAGCATGGGCCAAGAACCATTCCCAGTAACTTGGACATTGCCACGCTGCCTATGACTCCAAGAGGCTTTAAGAGTAAGAACGTGGGTTTCACCATGCCAGTTGGCCTGGGGAGCACAGAACGGTCCCAGGCACATGTAGAAGATGAATACAGACAAAATTGAGGAGTCCTAAACCAGACTAATGTTTTCAGTTGCTCATTAACTTGAAGTTTCTAATTTTCTGTTTTCTTCTTACAACATTTTTGTCAGTTCTTTTTACCTGCAGCATAGCTAGCAATGAATAGGAGAGGGAGCTGCCAAGATTTTTCAAGTTTAATCCTAAAAGCAAATCGAAACACAACCCTTCAGTGCCAGCTCAGCCTTGTGCCAACAGGTGGGTGTTCTGGAGATTATCACTCCCTTC